ACACTGCAAGAGTAAGACAAGATTTGAAATCACTTAGACCGCACCTTCTTATGCTTGAATGATTATCGACAATTAAATATTGCCCCTAAAAAAAGTTGGTTAAAGATACAAAATGATAAAATATAGGCTCATGGAACCTTTAAAACTCTTGAAAACCCAAAGTTTCCTTGCTTCAATATCTTTTAATGTTGAAAGCATGAAATTTGATGCAACGGATCTTTACAGATTGGGGTTCATGGTGCGCACATGAAGATGACGTCGGTTAGTTCATTTGGGTGGCTTTCGTACAAAGAAGAAATTGCCTCTGGTTATGCTAATGATACAACAACCAAGGATGGGTTAGTGGAGCAAGTAAGTGTCACCTGGGATACGACAGATTACCTGTGGTACATGACAGAGTATGAAAACCCCATCACCTATTGCAGTTTTGCTATCTTTTGAATATTTTATTGAGAAATGTTGAAAACAAAATCAATTATATTTTACTCTGCCCCATGTTTATCTTTCTCAGTATAAGGATTGATCCGAACGAAGGCTTCCTAAAGGCTGGACAGTGGCCTCTTCTCACCATCTTTTCAGCCGGCCATGTCTTGCATGTTTTCATAAATGGTGAACTAATCGGTACGTGAAAATACACACGTTTTTCCCTTAAAGATCCTCAAAAACATCAGCTAAATGATTATAACATCACAACATTATTATATTCTGAATGGTAGGAACTGTATATGGGTCGTTGATGAAGCCCAAATTAACATTCAGTAAACACGTTAATCTAAGGGCAGGAGTTAACAAACTTTCCATGCTGAGCGTTACTGTTGGTCTTCCGGTTAGTTTCTTCGTTTCTTAATTGTTTATATTTCTTATTATGGATTCTGAGTTTGACTTACGTTACCATTTGCTCGATGTCAAGAATGTTGGCCTACATTTTGAGACTTGGGATGCAGGCGTTTTAGGCCCTGTCACGTTAAAGGGTCTGAAAGAGGGTACTAGAGACATGTCTAGATATAAATGGTCTTACAAGGTACATTACCATACCAATCTACCCTCTCTTTGGCCTTCGGTTATTTATTTTTGTTCGCTCTGTGTGCTGGCTGTAGTGCTAATGTTTAGAAGCTATAGAATCTCAATTACAATGTTCCTGAGCAGGTTGGCTTGAAAGGAGAACTCATGAATCTTCATTCGGTCAGTGGAAGTGATTCTGTTCAATGGGCGAAAGGATCAGGGTTGGTTCAAAAGCAACCCCTCACATGGTACAAGGTGAGAGAAGTTGAATTTAACATCCTTAAATTTGTGCATCTTTTTCTATGTTTAAAAACTCTTTGGCTACGAGAGCTTCTATAACGTACCGAATCTACAGACCACTTTTAATATCCCGGGAGGCAACGATCCGTTAGCTTTAGATATGAGCAGTATGGGTAAAGGTCAAATATGGATCAATGGTCGGAGCATTGGGCGCTATTGGCCTGCATACACTGCACGCAGCGGCGGCTGTGACAATTGCAATTATGCTGGAATTTTTAATCAGATAAAATGTGTTTCTAACTGTGGACAACCCTCCCAGAAATGGTAATATGACTTACTCTTGCACACTGATTTTCGTCTACTTGCATGCATACTTAATGATAAACGTTTCAAAATCTCAGGTATCACGTTCCCCGCGAATGGTTGAAATCGAGCGGCAACTTATTGGTAGTTTTTGAAGAGTTTGGTGGCAGTCCTGGTGGGATTTCTTTGGTTAAGAGATCCCTACACTGATAACACCAAGAAGTTTTTGATTGAGACTTTCTGAAACTAAACTCAATCATGCCTAACGTTTCTCTTTAGTTTCACCGTACGCTTGATATTTCAAAAGTATATTTCATCTCAAATTTCATAGAACACTTGCCAGACTCGAGCCGATTCATTGTGTCGACCGAATGTCTACATATTGATCGAATTACAAGAGAATAAGTGGAGAAGAATACTAAAGCCAAGCAAATCACCGTGTGCATAGAAAGAACAATTATTCTTTGGGTTCAATATTCTTTTGTTCTTTTTTTTTTTTGGTTGTTGGGAGTTTCAACCTTCGACTTCGAGGGAAGAAATAGATGATAATTACATTATACTTAGCAATACCACGATTTTGATCTTAGATTCACACCAATATTTATTTACTTGTGTTGTATAACTATTTTTTATTCTTTAGTGTAACTGTGTTTATGTAAGGATTGATCCGTAGTTGAACTTGTAACGTTTGAATACAGAATAAATATTCAATCAAAATACATAATCACAATACTTTACTTTTTACTGTTTTATGAATTTGAAGTGACGATGGTATTCTTATATGCTATGAATGTTTGGATACTATGTAACGATTTGTTTTGTTCTATTGTCATTTTTATAGATTTTTTAAATCTATGGTTAAAATACTATTTTGATCTTTAGACTTACAAAAGGTTTATTTTAATCTTTGTATTTACAAAATGTTGTACTTTCAATTTTAATTAATTTTAAACTTATATTTTTAAAATTTGACTATTGTGGTCCCTAGTTACGAAATGTTAACACAAATTCTATGTATAAATTTTTAAAGTATATAGAAAAAAAAGAACCAAAACTAAAAATGCAACCTACAAGATTAATATAGTATTTTAACCTCCGTGTATATATATATATATATATATATATATATATATATATATATATATATATATATAACTTACTTTTCATTTAAAATAAATAAATTAGACAATTTTGAATAAAAATATGAAATAATGATAAATATAAAAATATTATTATTATTCTATCGACAATATTGAATAATTGAATAGTTTTTATTTGAAGTTTATTGAATGTTGTATGAAAAATATATTTTTTCCATCCAACCGTATGAATTTTGTGCCTTTTAACCTGTTTGGTTTGCATCCACAAATTTTGGTGCTCTAATTATCTAATTTGTAAGTTGTAATCTAAATCATACTTATCAGTAGGCCTGAACCAAGTTTTTGTTTACGGCTATAGACTTTGAAAATTTTAGTACAATTCTACTAATATTAGTTTTCTCCTATGTCAATTCGGTCAGATGTTTTATTATTGTGTGTTCAGTCCCTTAATGAAACTTTATTTTAAAAATATATATAAATAAATAAATATATATACACATATTTAACTAGTTTGAAATAGATCTCTAAACTTTTAATATATATATAGACTAGATAAACCTTATTTCAAAAATTTAGAGATTTATTATAAATTTGTTGGAGTACATCGACTAAATGGGTACTCGAATTCTTCCATCCTATAAGACCCTCGAAGTAGAGAATGAGGACAATTTATAGTATAAATTAGTGGTGTTTACGGTTCGGTTCGGTCCGGTTTTAGAGCCAAACCGAAACGAAACCGAATTTGAAAAAATGAAATAATATAAACCACACCGAATGTATTATATGAACCGAACCGGAAGTCGATTTGGTTCAGTTTGGTTTTGTGGTTTATGGGCTTTCTAAACCTCCTCCTTATGGCCCGTCTTTTGGTTTTGACAGGACGATTTTTTGATGGAATATGTGGTGGCGGCGATGGCGACGGAGCCAAAAAAGCTCCACTGAACGATTTTTGGGCGAAGGCGATGGTGGCGACACAGACGGAAATATGTGATGACAGCGACGGAGTAGGATACGGTTCGGTTATATCTAAAAAGAAAGTGTCGAACCTTGAGAAAAAGTTGAGTAAGAAGGAAAGTTGAGGAAGATGAAAAACGAGTGAAAAGGGAAGATAAGAAAATTTAAAACAGATGGAAAGTAGTAGTGAGGAAGAAGAAGAGTCGATGAAGAAGAAGAAAAGAGTTGAGCTTTAGAAAAAGGGGAAGGAAAAGAAAGGCAACATTGAAACATAGAAAGTGAGAAACTTGAAAACTTAAAATAACGAAATAAAATAGAGGAAAGGAAGAAGAGGGTAAAAGGTGAGTTTAGTATATTTTCAATTTTAAATTTTGAAATTTAAGATATTTATTAATTATTATTTAATCTTTAAATAAAAGAAAAAATGATTTTTTTTTTATTTTGTAGTAACCTAAGGTAAAGGTTAATCTCAGTCATCTCAACTGTCAGGTAATTATTATTAATTTTTAAAAAGTGGTAAGTTATTATATATATATATATATATATATATATATATATATATATATATGCGTGCGGATCAATTCGATTTTAGAAATTTAGATTTTATTCTAAATCGAAACCAAACCGAATTATTTGGTTTTAAAATTTTAACGAACCGAATCGAACTGAGCGACTGTTAAAGTCGATTTTCGGGTTGGTTCAGTTCGGTTTCGTTGGTTTTATCGATTTTGTCATTTTGATTGTGCACCTAGTATAAATTCACGACCTTCCTTGTAGCACGATGAAGGAAATCGAAATATCTAGCACTTAGAATTTTCCAACGACTGATACAATTCATACTAAGACTAGGATGTCATTACCCTCACGTGTCAATCCTTTTGCAAGATCATTTTCATGAAATAAAAACTAAACTCTAGTTCTTCAACACAAATGAAAATAAAAATCCTTAATTTATAAATAAAAATCATTTTTATTCCTTAATTTATCCGACACCCTTCAATGACAAGTTTTTTTTTTGCTTATTTCCTCCCCACAATTTGGAGCGTTATTTTTAGGTTAAATTACTTGTTTAGTCTTCTCATTTTAATTTAGATAATATATTTTTAAATATTATTATTAATAATTCTCATAATTTAATTACAATTTATTAGTCATCTTTTTTACCATTAGTGACAAATTCATGTTTATTAACTAATATAAGTTAAATATCAAATTGATACATGCACACAATAGGCACTATATGCAAAAATAGTCTAAGTTTAAGAATGTATTTTAATTAAATAGATATAATGCTACAATGACGAAATTCCAAAAAAAGAAAAATAAAATTGTAATTTATACGAAGATATTAAAAAAAAAGTAAAAAAAAAAAAATACAATTTCACAGTCAAGGACTCAAAATTGGCATTTGCAGCTGAATAGCCCTAATAAAATACTTCCTTTCATTTCCCAAGTCCTTCCCATCTGGCGCGACTTCAGTCTTCAATTCCAGTCGATCAGAGGAAGAACTAGAGACACCGGATTTGATGGTGAGTGAAATTGAAATCGATGAAATGCTGATCGAATTTCTCCGGCAGCAATTCCAGTTGATTTCAATGTTTTTGCCATTTTGCACTTTGTAATTTCGCGGATCATGCTTCTGCAGGCTCCGAAACCTGTTACGAGTCCCGTCTCCGAAGCGTGGTACCCAACCCTTGCGGTCTCCATGATCGCCGTTGGACTCATTATTACCGCTTCGTTTTTCATGTAAGTTCGATCGGATCTGTCTCTCTGTAGTTTAATTTAATCTGGTTGACGTTAATTATTCAGTGTGAAATGATAGGTTCGCCCTCCTGCTCGTTTTATACAAGTAGATTAGGGTTTGGTTACTTCTACTTCCCGGCATTTGTTGCTTTCTTAGTTCTATTTGATTACAATGGAATCGTTAGGAGATAATTAGTTTTCAATTCTACAAGCTTTTGATCTTTGGTTCTGAAGGGGAGGTAGTACGGAAATTTATCGATCCAATCGAGTATCATCTTCTTTTGTACCTTTCTTTCACATTTCGTGTCACTACACTACCATCGATGAGGGAATCGAAAATCTACAAGAAATTTTATTCCCAATGCATTGAAGTTCATCCATTGGGTTGAAAGATGTTTTGTAGGAGGCTTCAGGCTTTTGAAGTAACTCAGGATGGAACTAATTTTCATAATCCAAATCTGTGTTTAAACTAAAGGACATCTGACCATTAATAAAGAAGAGTCCACAGTGCTCTCTTTCATAAGAATTCATCCATTTGAGGACCTTCAATCTTAAGAAATGAACGAGGAGTTTAATCCCAAACTCCTGGAAGGTAGTCTCCAAACCATCTGCCCTTTGTCTGACATGATTTGTTACTATGTTCAGAAATAAGGAAAAATTTCCCCTTTGTTTCAATTTCTTTTTCTGCCACACTTTCAGAATTTGATATATAACAGTTGTATTCTTTTATTTATATCTTCTGTTATGTTTAGCTAATTAGTTAGCTAGTTTGTCTTTGTTAAGCATTCTGTTAAACTCTATTAGGCAGTAAGATTAGTCTTTAAATAGGCTGCGTATGTACCATTAAGAGTTATTTTTTACTCTTTGGATGCTGGGCAAGGCATAATTGCAGTTTCCGATGGATGTCCTGAAATGCCTCCTTTAACTTGACCATCATGCAGCTTTTCTTTAAATCTGAACCCCTATTTGATCTAAACCAGCTTCCAAGTATGCCGCCAAAGAATTGCATGAAGCATCTGCCTTTTGGCATGCAAGTACTGCTCTGTTTTTTTCCTTCGGCTTTAAGTGTATATGCTCTGGTTATTATCAACCTGTTTGAGTTAATTAATCATTTGTGAGGGATAATATTTTATTTAAGATCTGTTACATAGAAGTGGAAGTATATTTTCTTTGCTTGAGTGATGTGTCTTAAGATTATACTTTTCCATAAGCTTTTCATTGAAAATGTGGCAGCGTCGTGACCTTTTGACTATGGTATGCATCAGCCCATTGTTGTAGGCTTGTAGTTGGTGAACCTCCTGCCACTTCAAGGGTTAAATTTACTGTACATTTCTGATGCTCTATATAGAGTATGAGCGAAGCAATGAGTAAAGTCAATTTCTCTAGTCTTGGACAGCCGGAAACTAATATGGTTATTAATGCTCTTGTTTGTTGTAGATTTGGAAGGTAGCCTGATGATTTAAATTTTTTGTTTCTTGTCTGCCATTGATTTGATGGTTCTGACTGTATGCAAGCAAGGATGTTTCTAATGTAGACTATGGTTATAATTTGTCTCTGTTAACATGGTATCAATATCAAGTAAAAGTTATTGAACTTGATAAAGTGGGTATGAAATTTGATTAAATTGTTTTTATTGTCATGATCTATAACACAACCAAGTTGCATGGTTTGCTATTATGGGTGGAGCCAGATGACATGTTAGTATTATTCCAATAGATCAAGTATAACTGCCATCTTCTTATGGAGTTTATATTTGGGGTGACTCTAACCACATTGAATATCGTTTGCAGCTATGAAGCTACGGTTTCTAGGAAAAACCGTTGTCTGGCCAAGGAACTTACTAGGGGAGCAGTTGCCAGTGTTTTCTTGGTATGGATCTTTCTGTAGATGTCTTTTATAAGTTATAAAGCAGATTTTGTCCTCCTCCCCGTCAGTGGGAGGCGAACGTCCTTGTTTTCCCATTGACTTTTGTACATCTCTCTCATCAATTATAGGCAGATTTGATTATGGATGCTGGTGTTATATTCATGGTTCTATGTTTTTCTCTGTTGCAGGGTTTTGGCTCCTTGTTCTTGCTGCTTGCTTCTGGTGTTTATGTCTAACTTTCAGAAGCATATGTTGAGAATTATGTTTATTTAGGGAGTCAGTTTTACAATTATGTTGCTGGGCTAGGACTACTTCCGTAAAAACAGTGGTATTTTTTCCAATGAGGAATGAGTACAATCGAATTTTCCTTTTTTTTTTTTTTTTAATAGAGCATAACGTGCATTATGATTGAAGGAATTTTGTAGACTTGAAAATGGCAGTGGTGAAGAAATCAGCTTTCGATAGAACCATTGCTTTCTTCAATAATGTGGAAGTTGATTGAAATCTTATATGAAGGGAGCATACCAATCCTTGTTAACTGGTAAATTGATTGAATTCGTTTACTGGTTAGACTTCAGGATTTGCAAAGTTTAAAAGTCTTCTGACTCTCAGGTTTACAAAGTTAATTATTTTTATTTTACCCATGGGAGAGTGGTTTTTTATTTGTTCCCAATGGTTTAGACAGTTTCTGTTGCTTTGGCTAAATTACAAAACATACCTTTTAACTTTGCCATTTGTCTTTATCATTTCAAAAGTAACTTTCATAAATATTTCAAAAAAATATCTTTTAAGCAAAAACATTTAGTACTTTGTAATTAATGAAAGTTTGTCTGGAATAATTTATGGGAGATGTTTGTGAATGGAAGTTTAGTGGGAGCTTTCTCGATAAGCAAGGAATAATAAAGGAGGGTTTTCTTAGGATGAGTTTATTTATTTTTTTAGACATTTACCATCTTAAATTTATACCTTCTAATTTTTCAGCTTATTCGTCACATAATTTACACAGAAATTAACAAATTTTCAGCCTATTTTGTACGGTCAATTGATCAAATAAACACCGCAAGTATATCTTGTTATTTTCAGATTTTAAAATTGAAAATTAAGAACACATAATTATATCAACTCATTTCTTTTCTTTTTTCTCTTTAATTAAAATACGACATCTTATAGATTATCATATATTGTAAAATTATAATTATTAAAATTTTATTTCACAAAATATGTTAGTAAATTATTAATAATATTTGAGATTAACTAATTATTTAGTCAGTAATTACAACCTATTTTTATTAGTTGATGAAAATACTACTAAACCCATTTTGAACCGATTCAATTTTTAAATATGTTGTCAAAAGTAAAATATCACAACAAAAAAATGAGGAGTTAAAAAAGAGCAAAAACAGGAAATAAAAATTTAATTTGGAGCAAATTACATAAATAACACAAAAAAAAGCATATAGTATTAGGTTCAAAAATTAACATAAATGCCAACTTATACAATCACACCAGATTTACTAAAACTAAAACTACCTTACTAACATTTTTGAAAAAGGGAAAAAAATATTTTTATAAATACATATGCTAATTTCTTTATAACTTTTTTTTTAATAGAATCTCTTATTTTGAGGTTTTTAAAATGATTATTTATTGTCTCGATTTGTCTTATTTCACGGCAACAACGCTACGCGCCTACAGTAGACGGCTACACGGAAGGCAATAGGTTCCTTTCAAAGTTAACGAGATTCCGCCACGTGTCTCGATCATGGACCGTGGATGGTAGTGGAGCGGCATCCATTTCCACGGAGCGAAAATATATTATTTTTCGTCTGAGTTTAGTGAAAGCGGCGCCAGAGTTCTTAGGTGGGGTCAGAAAATTCAAGTGAAAAATCGCGGCCATGGACTCTTCCCAGCCGCAGCAGCAGCAGCAGCAGCCGCAGCCGCCGCAGCAGCAACCTCAGCCTGTTGTCAAGAAGAAGGAGACGCGGGGCCGCAAGCCGAAGCCCAAGGACGAGAAGAAGGACGAGCAGCTTGCGAAGAAGATGAAGGCTCAGCATCAGCCCTCCGTCGACGAGCGCTACACTCAGTGGAAGTCTCTTGTTCCTGTTCTTTACGACTGGTTCGCCAACCACAATCTCGTCTGGCCCTCTCTTTCTTGCCGGTACTCTACTCACTCCTCTTGATTCTGTTTCTTTTTCGCTCTTCTTCACACCCTAATGCAATGTGGGTGCTTCTTTCTCTTCTAGGGTTTTCTAATTGCTGTTTATTTGGCTTGTCTTTCTTCTTATTATGCGTCTGGTTATTCGTTGGGGAAAACACCTCCATTGGATTACTGGATCTGTCGCTTTTGAATTTTTAGGGTTTTTACTATGTATCGCATTTATGCAAGATGAGCTATTATTATCACATTGCATTGATTGGAGTTTCAACTCTGTTCCGGGTTCTAGGTGGGGTCCTCAGCTTGAGCAAGCGACGTATAAGAACCGCCAGCGTCTTTATCTTTCTGAACAGGTTAGACCATCGTCACAGTAAAATCAAGTGATTTGTTGGAATGGATCTATGGTTTATTTCTTTCTGTGGTTGTGCTGAATCCAGAACATATTGGTTAACAATATAAATTGGGGCGTGAGAATTCCTTAGGGAGAGGAACGAGCTTGTATTTGATTGGCGCTATGGACCGTTCATTTATAGTCTATAGCTGAAGTGTCATTTATTTATTTATTTTCTTGCTTCCGTGCTTCTAGACTGATGGTAGTGTTCCGAATACACTGGTCATTGCAAATTGTGAAGTGGTGAAACCTAGGGTTGCAGCTGCAGAACACATTTCTCAGGTGGTTTATCATATTTGATCAATTTTAAATTTGATTCATTATCCTTAGTCCATGTATCATACTTGATTGTTGTATTTTCAGTTCAATGAAGAAGCTCGCTCTCCATTTGTGAAGAAGTACAAGACTATCATACACCCTGGTGAGGTACGGCTATGCATTTCTCAAACAATGAAGTCTGGAACAGATGAAAACATGAGCTACAATAAATTCATATAAGCTGGTTGATTCCT